ATGATTTATAGAGATACTTGATAAAGGACCAGCCCCCAGGAAATGATTTATAGAGATACTTGATAAAGGACCAGCCCCAGGAAATGATTTATAGAGATACTTAATAAAGGACCAGCCCCCAGGAATGATTTATAGAGATACTTAATAAAGGACCAGCCCCAGGAAATGATTTATAGAGATACTTGATAAAGGACCAGCCCCCAGGAAATGATTTATAGAGATACTTGATAAAGGACCAGCCCCAGGAAATGATTTATAGAGATACTTATAAAGGACCAGCCCAGGAAATGATTTATAGAGATACTTGATAATATTTATAGAGATAGGACCAGCCCCCAGGAAATGATTTATAGAGATACTTGATAAAGGACCAGCCCCAGGAAATGATTCATAGAGATACTTGATAAAGACCAGCCCCAGGAAATGATTTATAGAGATACTTATAAAGGACCAGCCCCAGGAAATGATTTATAGAGATACTTGATAAAGGACCAGCCCCCAGGAAATGATTTATAGAGATACTTGATAAAGGACCAGCCCCCGGAAATGATTTATAGAGATACTCCAGCCCCCAGGAGATGATTTATAGAGATACTTAATTAATAAAGGACCAGCCCCCAGGAAATGATTCATAGAGATACTTGATAAAGGACCAGCCCCAGGAAATGATTTATAGAGATACTTAATAAAGGACCAGCCCCCAGGAAATGATTTATAGAGATAAAGACCAGCCCCAGGAATGATTCATAGAGATACTTAATAAAGGACCAGCCCCCAGGAAATGATTTATAGAGATACTTAATAAAGGACCAGCCCCCAGGAAATGATTTATAGAGATACTTAATAAAGGACCAGCCCCAGGAAATGATTCCTTAAAGGACCAGCCCCCAGGAATGATTATAGAGATACTTGATAAAGGACCAGCCCCCAGGAAATGATTTATAGAGATACTTATAAAGGACCAGCCCCCAGGAAATGATTATAGAGATACTTGATAAAGGACCAGCCCCCAGGAAATGATTTATAGAGATACTTGATAAAGGACCAGCCCCAGGAAATGATTTATAGAGATACTTGATAAAGGACAGCCCCAGGAAATGATTTATAGAGATACTTGATAAAGGACCAGCCCCCAGGAAATGATTTATAGAGATACTTGATAAAGGACCAGCCCCCAGGAAATGATTTATAGAGATACTTGATAAAGGACCAGCCCCCAGGAAATGATTATAGAGATACTTGATAAAGGACCAGCCCCAGGAAATGATTATAGAGATACTTGATAAAGGACCAGCCCCCAGGAAATGATTTATAGAGATACTTATAAAGGACCAGCCCCAGGAATGATTATAGATACTTGATAAAGGACCAGCCCCCAGGAAATGATTTATAGAGATACTTGATAAAGGGACCAGCCCCCAGGAAATGATTTATAGAGATACTTGATAAAGGACCAGCCCCAGGAAATGATTTATAGAGATACTTGATAAAGGACCAGCCCCAGGAAATGATTTATAGAGATACTTGATAAAGGACCAGCCCCCAGGAAATGATTTATAGAGATACTTGATAAAGGACCAGCCCCAGGAAATGATTTATAGAGAGATAAAGGACCAGCCCCCAGGAAATGATTATAGAGATACTTGATAAAGGACCAGCCCCAGGAAATGATTTATAGAGATACTTGATAAAGGACCAGCCCCCAGGAAATGATTTATAGAGATACTTGATAAAGGACCAGCCCCCAGGAAATGATTATAGAGATACTTGATAAAGGACCAGCCCCCAGGAAATGATTATAGAGATACTTGATAAAGGACCAGCCCCAGGAAATGATTATAGATACTTATAAGGACAGCCCCCAGGAAATGATTTATAGAGATACTTGATAAAGGACCAGCCCCCAGGAAATGAGATAAATAAAGGACCAGCCCCCAGGAAATGATTTATAGAGATACTTAATAAAGGACCAGCCCCCAGGAAATGATTATAGAGATACTGATAAAGGACCAGCCCCCAGGAAATGATTTATAGAGATACTTGATAAAGGACCAGCCCCAGGAAATGATTTATAGAGATACCCCCCCGGAAATGATTTATAGAGATACTTGATAAAGGACCAGCCCCAGGAAATGATTATAGAGATAAAAGGACCAGCCCCCAGGAAATGATATATAGAGATACTTGATAAAGGACCAGCCCCCAGGAAATGATTTATAGAGATACTTAATAAAGGACCAGCCCCCAGGAAATGATTTATAGAGATACTTGATAAAGGACCAGCCCCCAGGAAATGATTTATAGAGATACTTGATAAAGGACCAGCCCCCAGGAAATGATTTATAGAGATACTTGATAAAGGACCAGCCCCCAGGAAATGATTCATAGAGATACTTGATAAAGGACCAGCCCCTCATATGGTTCGTAGGCCCTACCTCTTTACGTATCCTAAACCTAGCAAACCCTCACCTATTTTTTTCATAGATCCTCGGCTATTTTATCCCGGCGAAATATTGTTGGACAATTTGATCTTTCAATAGACAGTAAAAATGAAGAGAGTAAAAGTCAAGCATAAATACGTGTCATGAAACGTTCGTTCGCGCGGGAATTGTTCGATTGCGTTGGAAGGACTTAAGCAGAATAGGTAATAATATTTTATTATGGTATATTTCTGGCAGGTATGACGCTGCTTTATTTATTAATCATTCCTTATATTAACCTGTTGGCTCTATGCATTCACGCATAGCTGATGAGGCGTGAAAAACATGCTAAGGAAGTCCAGAAATGAGTACTGCCTGTTTTATACGAACTGGTCGTCAGTTAAAACTAGTTATTAAACTTTCGGGGCCAACCTGTATCGTATTTGTTTAATGCTTAAGCAAAGATGCGTGTGATTCGTGTTGATATAAAAAGCGAGGGTCACTTAACACTGCAATGGGGAAACATGACGAAAATGTATTTTGAATTCACGTGTAACGGAAAAAAAACGTATTTTCTTCGATTGTTTAAACCTTGGCGCCGAATTACGCACAATAATACGCTATATTGGAAGGCAATTAATTCTTTCACCACTTAATTAACCTCAACATTGATTCGAATGTTAGAATATTGACAAAGAAAAACTATTCATATACGTTCGGAGTTGCAAGACACTTCTTCGTCTTGAATAAGTTATCGTATTTACAGATGTTAAAATGTTATATTCCCCTTGAATGCGAGCAAAAATAGTAATATAAAGTTAATAGTAATATAAAGTATTATAGAGTTGTTATTTATACTTTTAACATAAAAAAGGTCGGTTTTAGCTGCACATTTCAGCACAGATATTCAGTTCTAGAGAATATCCATATCCAGAGATTTCACAAATTCTTAATTTAAAAGATATTGTGGGATGCATTTGCTGAAGTAAACAATCCTTTACTAAAAAATGATTCTGAGGATTTTAGAATGAGGAAATTATGTTGGGAAATTATTTGCGTCTCATTATTTATTGAAAAATACAATCCACGGACACAGAATATTGATCATTTTTACGGACCTTTTTTAACAGTAAATGCGGCAATTTGTATATATATATATATATATATATATATATATATATATATATATATATGTATATATATATATATGTTTTTTTTTGGACCGTTTTTAACAGTAAATGCGGCAGTTTGCTTATTTATGTTATTATTTATTTATTCTTTTAGCTGGTATGCATGCTTAGTCACTCTTTTCACTCATTCATAGTTCTTTATGGGACCTTCTTTATTATTCTGCTTATAATTTCCTTTATCATAACCAGTATTAAAATCTATAGAGTGTTCTATATATTATCTGTGTCGGATCTACAAAGATCGGAACAGCCCCCCCCCCCCCCTCCCCCCCTCCCGTGCTCTTATAACTTTTTTTTTTTTTTTTTTTTTTTTGTTCCTGAAGCTGTAAATGCAAAACAAATCAGCATTTATCCACAAGCCGATTAAATCATCAAAGCTAGCAATCTGAATGTATTTTATCGTCGTTCCCTGACGAATGTGAACATGTGTTTTATATAGTTTACAATCCTTTCTCTAATATATATATTTATATCATATAGTAGTGGTAGTAATGCATGTTATTGTTACTGGTATTATTAAAGCAGTTTTTGCTGTTTTGTTGTATAATTATAACTAATTCTGATAATTATTATCACCATTGTCATTATCATCATCATTACTATCATCATATATATAATAATTATTATGTTGTTGGTGCTGTTATTATCATGATTATCCCCAGTACTGATAATTGTTTTCAAAATCAATATAAGTCATTATAACTTTGACTCCCAGCGGAAGACTTGTGCTGACAAGGTATTATTCCCCATTAATCTTCAACAAAAAAAAATAAGAAAAGGTATGCCTACAATGGCGACACACATTAAGGTTATTGCTTTTGACATAGTTGTGATTATTGCCGCGAGAGGGAGAGAAAAAAAAAGGAATAAATGAATGCGCAACGGAAGAAAGAGTGTCACCTAATTTCATTTTTTATGTATATTACAGGGTCTCTTTCTCTGTGACTTGGGATATGTAGAAGTTAATAATTATCACGCACTTGGTATTAAATTAGGTAGAGAGAAAGGCAAAAGTTATTCTAACCGTGTATTATAAGCTGATTTTGCTTGTAGAACTTTTTTTTTTTTTTTTGTAACTCACGCATATGTTGCAATTTTGGAACCCTGTTTTTAATATGAACCGCTTCCTTGTCAGGCTTTTAAAAAGTCTTAAAAGCGTGAAATAAGAAAAAAAAACTGATCATTCCTCTCCATTAACGAACGTCAGGTTTGTCCAGGTCTGTGCATGAGACACTGTCCCTCCATTATATTCCATGTGTAAACACTGGATATATAATTTCTACGTGGAAGAGAAATTAATATTTCCCCTGAATCGTAAAAAAACACGAAAGAAAAAAAACACTGACAATAATTATCTTTATTTTCTTTTAACACAGCAAGCAATGAAGTGTTTGAAGTCAGGGTCACCTCAGCACGAACACCGGGTCATGACGTCATCGCTGAACTGAAACATGGCGGCTAACTTATTGAAGAGCTTGATATATGCGACTTTATTTGTGAGGTAAATTTCTTTCTTTCTCTGTGCTTATTCTGCGACCTCGTGTAACAATATACACATCAAGGGATTGTTATTTTTATTTATTGTTGTGATTACGAGTGAATTAGCCACAAACGCAATTATTTTAATTATTTTAATAGTAATTTCTCGATGCAGGGGGGGGGGACTCAAAGGAAAAATAGGAATTTAATAAAATAGATAAATAAGTTAAATCGTACACACACACACACACACACACACACACACACACACACACACACACACACACACACACACACACACACACACACACACACACACACACACACACACAACACACACACACATATCGTACATACATACAGTATATTTTCCCACTTTCTGCCACTTAGTACGACCACAATCTCCCATTTTTCCACTTTACAGACTAGACTCAAGTGGCCTAGTCATAAGCATGGAATATAGACCTTATCCACGTGTCATTAATACCAATAAATGAATCCATTCGCAGCGCCACAGCCCACAACAGCACCCCAGAGATCCCGACAGAGGAATGGACGACCTACACAGGCCCCAATTATCGCAAGGAAGTCTTCCCCAAAAATGACACGTGTATGGCAACACTCGGTCTTCCAGCTGGCCGAGTTGCTTATTTTTATTTTTATTTTTATTTTCTGGGTCTACGAAGGCTAGAAATTTTGCATGCGGTTCTATGATCTATGGGTTGTCTGACTTATTCACCTGTTTTACATTTTCGATTTGGTTTATTTCGATTATTATTATTATTTTCATTGTTGTTGTTGTTATTGTTGTTGTTGTTGTTGCTGCTGTTGTTGTTGTTATCATTATTGTGATAATTTTTATTGTTATTATTATCATTTATATTATTATGGTTACTCAGTAGGAGTAGTGGTAGTAATATAATTATCATTGTTATTATGATAATTGATGATTTCATTATTATTATTATCATTATTATTATTATTATTATTATTTTGTTGTTATCATTATCATTATTATCATCATTATTCCTAAGTTTCTTTCAAACATAAAGCTTTTTTAAATTATTTATCCAAGCACATTATTTCTCGCCTCCGTCTATGCGAGTTTTATTTTGGTGAAATGAAAATAAATTGATATATTCCCCTCCGTTCGGTTTTTTAATTTCATGCTTCCGTCCTCCTAAAGCATGATAAATAACATTGTTCTGTAAACGTTCTTGAATAATGAATAAGACTTCCATTAAAAGAACGTTGATTCCTTTCTTGCTCACAATTTCATGTTATTACTCTCATTACTAAGTAGCTATTGACTCATTTGCGATAAAGTTAACAAAGCGATTTTGGAGAAAGGCACACATACAGATAACAAAGCACGAGAATAGAACGTATTGAGGAAAATGTAACGCTTCATAAAAAAGAGAGAGAAAGAAAAAGCGATCAGCTGTTTTTAGGAAGGGATTCGTACAGCAGAACCAAGGTAGTGTTGTTACTGCTGTGTTACTGGTACTACTAATTTACTGGTGTTTTACGTTATTAATAGTTGTGTTTTCGTCCATGCTCATTCTGCAGCTTCAAATATTGTTGATATTGCTAATGTTATGTTGTTGTTGCTATCACATCATCATTATTATTACTATTATTAGCGATTATTATTCTCATCACCGCTGTTATCAACGCTATTTCCATTTTCCATTCGTAGTGTCGCTATTTTAATCATCATACATACTATAACCATCATTGCTGCAATTACCAAACAGTGTGTCAGTGTTAACAGGCTATTCATATTAAGAACTAAACCCTCGCATTTGCTGTTCTCTGAAGATATGCATAACCCAAGCTGTTTTTTATCAATGCCAAAAGGAATGGCTCTTATTACCCTTTTTGCATAAGTATATCATTTATTTAGCTGCAGGTTTTGTATTTCTTCCTTTCTTTCTTTTTTCAGCCGAACCCTTAGAAGTGGGAATTTCTGTCCTGGTGAGAAACTTGCCGAAGATCGATGAGGTTAATGGGGTGAGTATGTAACCCTTTACTTCCTGAAAGAACAAATTTGTCCACTTTAAAAGAAATGGTCCTTTCGGGTAAAATATCCTGAATTGGAGATTTGAAGGCGACTTTTTAATCTAGTTATGTTGATGGTACTGGCATAGGCGGGAGATGGA